CCCGCGATCCGCACCACGTCCCGCCCGGACTCCTTCATGCCGCCCGCGAACAGCGCCGCGAAGTACGGGCTGCTGGCCGCCAGCACCAGGCGGTGCACGGAGAACGCCTCCGGGCCCACCTCCAGCCGCACGTCGCAGAAGCTGTGCCCGGCGCGCAGCCGGTTGATCTGGGCCAGGAGGAGGCGGGCGTGCCGCTCGGAACTGGAGACGGAGCTGGAGCCAGAGCCGCCCTTGCCCATCCCGGCACTCGCCGCCATCGCTGCTGCGGCACCGGCACCCGCGGCGCCGGCCTCGCGCCGCGCACGCGCCCCGCTCCTCCCGCCCGGGCGCGTGCGCGGGGAGGGGGCGCGCTCCCCGCTGAAGCGGCTGTGCCTGGACGGGGCGGGCACCGGGGCGGGCGGTGCTGAGGGCTCCGTGTGGGCTCTGTGTTTTGTGAGCGCTCCGTGTGTGCCGAGGGCTCTGTGTGCCGAGCGCCCTGCCCTCACGGCGGCACTGGTTCAGGGTGCTGAGGGTTCCGTGTGGGCTCTGTGTCTTGTGTGCGCTCCGTGTGTGCCGAGGGCTGTGTGTGCCGAGCGCCCTGCCCTCACGGCGGCACTGGTTCAGGGTGCTGAGGGCTCCGTGTTGGCTCCGTGTGTGCCGAGAGCTCTGTGTGCCGAGCGCCCTGCCCTCACGGCGGCACTGGTTCAGGTACCTCTGTTCACTCCTTTGTCTATGCGCCTGCCTGGGCACCTGGTCCCGTGAGGCCCTGCAGGAATCACGGAATCACCAAGGTTGGAAGAGACCCCTAAGGTTATTCATTCCAATGGTCCGCCCCTGTAACCCCTAAACTGCTAAAACCACATCGCCCAGTGCCAGATCCACATGCCTCTTAAACACCTCCAGGGCTGGTGACTCCACCACTTCCCTGGACAACCTATTCCACTGTCTGACCACCCGAATAGTGAAAATGTTTTTCTAACATCTAATCTGAATCTCACCTGTCTTAGCTTAAGGCCATTTCCTCTGGTCCTTTCACTGCAGGCACAGTAAAAGAGACTGACCCCAACCTCACTGTAACCTCCTTCCAGGGAGTTGTATAGAGCAGTGAGGTCCCCCTCGAGCCTCCTTGAGGCTGAGCAACCCCTGCTGCCTCAGCAGCTCCTCATAAGACATGTTTTCTGGCTTTGTTGCCTTCCCTGGGCATGCTCCAGCAACTCAATGTCTGTTTTAAAGTGAGGAGACCCTGTGCATCCCTACAGACACCTCTGGTCCCTGCTCTGCAAAGAGCTTGTCTGTGGTTAAAACGGGTCCCACACTTAGTCACTGCCTTCACAACCTCTGTCCCTCAGCCCTAGTCATGCTCTAGTAAACTTGGTCCCTGTCCACCTCAGTCTGTGCTTGTGAGAAATATGGCTATGTTGGGGAGAAATTGCACCAGCCCAGGGAACCGCAGAGGTGGGAGGCAGGGACACTGCCTGGGACTGTGGCAGCAGACCAGTGTTGACAGGGGATAAGCATCACACACTGAGGTAAATGCACATGATCACCGGGTCTGGCAGAGCTGACACTGATTCTGAGAGAACAGCATCCCTCCTGATTTCCACAACTGTTCCAGGAGCATGACAGGCAGGCACAGTCCAGCACTCCTTTGTCCATAGTGTCATGCCATGTGTGGGCCTTCCTCTTCATTCCAGCACGGATGTGTCATCAGTGTCCTGTAGAAGCACCATGTGGGTCACTGGGGTCAGCACTGATCCTGAGGCAAAGTGTGCTTCCATCTTAGTCTGTGTAATTCCCTGAGTCATGGCATGCCTGAGCACTGATGGGGGTGAACATCACGTACTGAGTTAAATGCATGCAGTCACGGGTCCAGCAGAGCTGGCACTAATTCTGAGAGAAAAACATGTCCAGAGTTTTCCACAGCTGTTCCAGGAGCATAACATCCAGCCAGAGCAAAAAGCGATCAGAGAGCCACTTGGAAGGCTTCCATATCTATTTACTGTGAGACTGGGAAAGAAAAACATGTCTGCTCACAGTTACAGTGGTCATGGCCCCTCAGGCTTTTCTCATGAGTCTGCATTTCATTGTAATAACTTTTAAATGTACTTCTGGAAAGAATCTGAATCATGATACCCTTGGGGAGGCTGCTGGTTTCTCTCTTCATCAGCATTACATTCTAATTACATTTCAAGTTGGTCTTCAAAAAATACCCATAGAAAACATAGATCTAGAGAGAAGGTTTCTGCAAGTACACCGTTGGATGCATGCTGATATAACTCTGTACATTTTAAGCTTGGCTAATAAATGCATTGAAGTTTTTCTTTCTTTGATGCATCAGTAAAAGAAACCAGACCCCTTTTGCACTGACATTTTATTCATCGGAAGTGGCCTGTGAGTAAAAGGCTTAAAATTCTCCTAAACGCCAGTGGCTTGCTCGCTGATGTCAGCTGTTAGACTCTTGGCCAGCACTGGGATTTCACACCATAGCTCCAAATTTATGGACACAAAATAATGTTGCTGAGAGAGCTCATATTGCCCCAAAGGCCTGTGCTGTGCTGTGTTCATGGTTCTGCCCTCAGCAAAGGGCATTTCTTCAGCAGGTGTCTTCTGTGGCCACACAGGAGCTGTACAGGATGGAGCTCATGATCCCATACACTACTGTGAATCTCCCAAAACATACTGTAGATTTTCAGGAATAAATTTGAAATTACCTTTGACAGTGTGAAATTGCACTGTGTAACGAGGAGGCCTTTTGATTAACCAACTCCAAGAACAGCAGTCACTGTAGTGAAGGAATTAAAAATGTCCTCAATTTTAATATAATAGACTTAAAAAAAATATATTTGCCAATAAGCCAGCTGAATTCTGACTGTGATGATAGGTGACAAAAAAATACATGTCCTGTGCTCCTCAACGTGTCCCACTGCCCACACCTCCTCCGAAGTGCTGCTGCCACCCTGCCAAAACAGTGAGAAGATTCTCACAAAAAACTATCCAGGTTTTCTCTTGAAAAACCCCTGTCCCGCAGATTTCCCTGGCTGAAAGGTTCTCAGGAAAACCTTTCCAGATGCCTGGACGACATTCTGCGGAGCCATGGGAGGTGTCTGTGCTGCTTCTCCCGAGTCCTGCAGGTGCCGCTGTTACCGCAGGGAGATGTGTTGGAACGTTAACAAAACCGGGACTGCAGGGTGACGTATTGGAGCAGTAACAAAATCGGGAGCCTGAAAGGTGTTGCCTGTGCGGATGCTGAATCTTTCCTCTCTTACAGTATAATTTAAGTTTGTCGTTGTTGTGGATTTGTTGTTGTTCCCCCCCCCCCCCCCAATCTAAAAATAGTAATAATTTATTTGAGTGTGCAATTTTGCCTGACTACTCCTTGTCATAACCTGTCCATTACACCTGCAGTTTTGGGGGCCATTTTGACTTAAAACCCCTTACCATACTTGGCTGTTAAATTCCCTATTGCAGAGGAGACGTGAAACTCAGGCATTGACTATTTGTAGGTACATCAGATCCCATGGGGTCTTTTGTGATATGGAGCCACTTTCCATTGCAACCAGAATGTGCCATAATTTCTTCCCCAATTTATTGGGTATGAAATCTTCACTTCCTGTCACAAACTGCATCTCTGCACTTTGCCCTCTGTGCTAAGACATCTGCTGTAACCTTTCAATGGTACAGGCAGTTGTCATTTTTGTTACTAATTATCCACTAGAGCTGCTACTTGTATTGTAATGCACTGGATCTGTCAGAGGAGAGGTGTTCTACAGCCTCACCAAAATGGAAAGGAGCTTACTTTGTGTTTTGGTGTGAAGGTCACAAAATCTTCGTAGAATACAACCATTTTTGCTCCACTTCCCTAAATTTCACAAGGATTTGAATTCAAACTTCTCCCGGGAAAGCAAAAATTGCAAAAGTGCAGAGCTACCAAGTGCTCATGAGGCGTACAAGCATCTATAGTAAAAGCATCTAAGCTACATCTCTTACACTTCCAAAACACCTTGTCTCTGTTAAGGTCGAGGTTTTTCCCACGTGTCCCATTTACTCTGGATGCCATTGCGTGCCCAAAGCAATGATGCAGATCAGCAGTCTGTGGATGCACAGTTGGTGGATGCTGTTGTGCATCCCTTGAAGGGGTAAGGCAAGGCAGGCTGCCAGACTTCACACTCTTCAGCCTGGAGGAGAGAAGAGGCTCCCTGGCTACTTGTAAGTTATTTCTCAAAGACAGCATTGGTTTACCCCATTATCACCCCAATGGTGATCATCACAACTGCTTATTGTGTTTGTCTCCTCAGCCAAAAGCCTCTAATGAGCTACAGACACTATATTCTAATTAGATACCTGCACAAACCTGTTGTCAGCTTATGCTTTCACGTGATACTTAAGCTTCAGTGGATAAAGAAGCTTCCCTTCAAGGTCTGAATGTTTCCTGCCTCAGTGGGTTGTGCTTCACTGGCAGATAACACATTTTCCAGACTCAAGCCAGGCATGAGAACACTCTGGACAGGGTTGGGCCAGGCCCAAGAGCTATTACCTTAATTCCTGAGGGTTAATGGATCTTGATGAATATGTGTGTATGTGTGTGGGGTAGAGGTCTGACCTGAAATTGACCCAAATACAGAGAGCAAGAGGAGTCCCCAGAGACAGTCTTTCTGCACAGGCAGTCCCACAATACAGGGCTTGTGTGAAAACGTTTAAGTTTTCACACTACCAGCAAGGTGGTGATGGCTCCATTTTTCAGCTCAACTGTTAATGGCTTGGGAAACTGTTCAGGTCGCCTTGCCCCGCCCCTCTCTGCCCCTCCTCTCCCCTCTCCCATCTTTAGAAGCCTTTGTCAATTTTTTTCTCTGTTTTGAAATTCGTAACTATTTCCTATTTTCACTGTAATGTGGCTTGAGGTAAAGGTGGCATTAAGGTAACAGCCTGGTATCAGGTTTGTCAGTCCAGAGAGGTTTAGCACTCTTGGGGATTGAGAAACTCTCCCAAGTATTCAGATCCCACCAAAGGCAGCAGCACAGGCTGTGCTGGCATCCAGCTGAGGGAGGTGTTGCCCTCTCCAGTGACCAGCCGTGCCCTGGGGAGCCAGGCAGCAAAATTGGGTAACACATCTGAGCCACAGGAGGCTTCAGAGGGAACGCGACATTCACAGTGAGTAATGCACAGATATTGGCTTGTGATTTCAGGAGCACTGGCAATATTTCACTACTGTGTGCTCCAGGCTTCACCTTCACAATAGCATTGGGTGGAAAAGGGATTGGTGTGTGATAAAAAAAAATAATAAAACAAGGAAAAAACCCCTTTTCAGTCCTAAAGTATGTCCCAGCAATGAAAGGATTGTGTCACCTGACCTACTTGAGTGGAGAGGTTTGCGTTCTAGGTACACTTACCTAGCAGGAAGTTGGGAGGAATTCCAGTGAAATGGGAATTGGGGAATGTTGTGTAACATGCATGGCTACAGTTCCCCACCACTTAGAAGATTCTTGTGTTTAAGCCATAGATCTGGATCAATTCCATGCAATTTGATTTAAAATAAACATCCTGGATGCAGTGTGTCGGATACTAGCACAATATTGTTTTAGTCTTCCTCATTTCTCCTGTGGGAATAATTATTCCATGAAGGAGGAAAGTGATCTAATGAGAGAATTAACTCAAGAGCTTGAACATTGAATTAGTCACAGCTGTCTGAGAGGGCAACCAAGGCGAGCTCCACAGAGACCTCACTGCATTTCCAAGGAAGGAGGCCAAAAGAATACTGGAACTTGGAAAGCAGTTGGTGTCAAAACAGAGGCAGGAGAAATATGCTTTTAGGAGAGAGACTTTCCTCCCTCATTTCTCTGTGAAGATAAATCTCAGTAGTAGGGAATCACCACAACTTTATCTTGGAGATGTTGAAAGCTGCCAGATTGTTGAGGTCTGGTCCTAACTGTGTCCTCACACTTATTTGAAGCAGATGATTGATTCCATAGCTTGGGTCTTTTTTCACTGTAGTCTGGAGCTGACCTGCAGCTTCACACTGAATTAGATCTGCTCTCTTAGGTGACTGTATCAAAGGTGCAGGTTTTTTTTTTTTTGCCAAAAGGAAAAATGAGTTGTGCTTGAGAATTATCAATCTTCAGGCATGGGGGAATTCACTCTTGCCGTTAGTAAAGTTTGGCAATGTTTCAAATTGTAATCCAAACCCTAATGGTTTTTGGACTCTTTACTTAACTCTTGTCTAAATCTCAGTGTTTCCTTGGATAATAAAATAGAGCAAACATACAATAGACATGAGCTGTCCGAAGCATGTGGCATTTTTTAAAATAACTCCAAGTTATGCAAACCTTTGGAACAGAAAAAAGGAAGGAAAATAACCAGAAAATGTGCACAAATTTACTAATTTAATTCCTTTTGAATTATACAGTCATTAGATATATACTAAGAGCTTGTTTGTTCTCCTAGAAGATATTGCACTGGTGTTGACAGAGCTCGTGAGCTGATTTCATTGGGAAGATGGATAGAGTTAAACTCTGCCTGATACCCACCACATTCCACAGGCTGTGTGATGCAGTGGGGTCATTCCAGAAGCAGGCCTCAGTGGAATGTGACATACGTCACCAACTCTGAGTAACTGTTAGTGGGATGCCTGTAGGTCCTGCATCTGCTTGCTTGGTGAGTCAGGACTTCCAGAGCTCTGCATACACTGAAGCCTTAAAAGATTAAACCTTCTTCCACAGTGTAACATTTCAGCTGTAAATGGCTTAGGTTGCTGCTATGCATCCCAGCTCCTTGGCTGCTCTGCTGTTGCTTTGCCATGTATTTTCCTGGATAATTTTTTTCCAATGGTTTACCTTTCCTCAGCACAAGCATTTTTCATCTCCCTTTGTAGAATTTCAGCTTTGGGGGCTTGATCTAGTTCTTTGGCTAGAAAGATCATTTTTATTCTAATCTTGTCCTTCAAAGTGCTTGCAAAAGCTCTGCTTCATGGTTTAGGAAAACATAAGGATCGACTGGATCAGAACAGATCCTTAGGGATTACTACAGAAAATCTGAGTTTAACAACAACATACCCATAGTAATCTTTTAATGTATTTTTAAGCAAGTATTATGGTGATTTCATTTGCACTTTGATTTTCTCCAGTTGCTTATCAGAATATTCTATCAAATATTACTAAAATCTTAAAAAGCCAAATCTCATCTATATCTTTATCTTTGGCTGGTTGTCTCTCAGCAAGGCAAATTAGCCTCTTTGACATTATTTGTCTTATACAGTGCAATGATTATTTTTTGTATAATTTCATTATCCTTCAAGGTCCAAGGAAGTGTATGGTTTAATAATTTGTTTCGGGTTTTGGATGCTCAGGCTTTTTGCACTATTTTATTTCATAAAAACCTGGAGCATCAGACTCAATGATCTTAAAGGTCCTTTCAAACCTGAACAATTCTGTGATTCTATAATTTTTGCATAATAACTTTTGCATGATAATTTAACATAATAACTTTTTCTGAGGTTTATCTTACAAACTGCAGCTCCATTTGCAATGTGAAAAAAGACTCTGCAACATAACTTGTCTGTGCTAGTCCTAGTTCTGCAATACTAGCAGTGATCAGATAAGTCTCTTTTTGACACTCTCCCACTGAAAGTTTGCTTCTCACTACTTATTTTCCTCTCAAGTATATTTTGAAGATTAATGAATATTTATAAAATGTTTTGAGTGAAACCTGTACATGAAAAATGCAAAAGAAGTTGAAAATGTCATAATTACTGATGTTTATTATTTTTTAAAAAGAAAGACTCTATGGCAATCAATATCTGTGGAGATTTATGAACTATAAAAATAGAATGAGGAATCTAAAGGTACTACAGGAAGATGTGGCCTGAGGAAGAAAGCCTTGCAATGACACAAGGAACAGTGGGAAAGTTTTGTTGATAATACTGACTATTGAAATATATGCTGGATGAAGCATTTGTATGACAAAAGTATGATGGAATTCTTTTCAGTCTGCAAGTAATTAAGGATGAGGTTCATCATGATCATAAGTCATATTCATAATTTTAAAACAGTATATACTAAAAAACTCTAACAGATCTGTCATGAGGGGTCTCATTTGTAAGAAATCCTGGCTTGTCAGTGAAATTTCAGAAGATTCACAGTATCCTGCCAATGTTTAAGGAAAGAACATAAAATAAACAGAGCAATCAGGATGACCCAGCTTAGCTGGTTAACGTGACACCAGGCCCAAATAGCACAGTACGAAAGTTGATTCTTAGGCAGGTTGTAAATAAGTCAATAATTGGCAATAATTTTAATTTTTATCAACACTGTCTTGTTGATAAGTCCAGTTCAATTCATTGATAAGAGTTTTAAATCTGTTTCCTCAGATTGGTGTAGGAATTATTTCCCAACCTATTTCCCAAAGCATTTGACTACCATTGTGACATTTTAATAAAGACCTTAGTAAAGTCTGGTGTCACTAAATACAGAGGCATTTCAGTGGTCTGGGCCAGTGTGGCTCCAGAGGCAGGACATGTACTTTTAGGCTGTGATGCATAGAGGCACCTACCTAATCAGGCAGCATTAGCTGGGGATGTCTGCAGCCACCACGAACTTGGATCTTTCTTTTCCCTGGTTACCTTCAGGGTGTATTGCTGTGATTTGTTTTTTAGCCATTTGTGTTATTTTTCATTTTGCTTAATCTGAGTTATCCTAGCCTTTCTGTAAATGTAAAATATCCACTGATAGCATTTCTGAGTATCACAAAGGTTGTTTAGGGTGTAAAGTACTGTGTGTATAAAGCAACTAGACAGAGCAACAGTGACTTAAGGAGATTGGCATATTCATGTGAAGTTTTTGTAACACAACATGAGTGCAAAGTAAGGAGCTGAGAACTAAAAGATCACTGTTCACACCTCTGGGACCAAGGAGCTCTAGAGTGGAAAACTGTCCCATAGGGACAACTGAGAAGTTCTTGAATTTTTGTCCTAGAAGAGAGATGACCTAGAAGAAATATGGTAGCTCTGCAAAATTATTTGAGTTACAAAGAGTTAAATGGTTTGCTTAGGGTGCATCATGAGTCAGTGGGAAAGTTATGAATAGGAGCAAAATGATCTTTCTTGGTCCTTTATCTTGCTGTAGAACCCAATGTTCTTCAAAAGCATGCAATAACCAGTCTTATGGGTCATCCTGAAACTAAGCATGGAGGAGTTTGTTGAGAGTGGTTTCAAAAGTAATTTAGTCAGAGCAAAGAGAAAAAAGTGGAATGGGAAGAAAAAGAGCAGAGAAACAGGCAGAAACAATTGTGCTATACTTAACAAAAAGTATGAAGAAAATGTCTGTCCATGGTGATACAGAAAAGGTTGGTGTTAAGGCAGTGAGAGGGGATAATTAATTCTTGAATTTTGAGCATAGCAAAATAAAATGCAGGAAAATTTCTGCTCTGATTCAGGTGCAATAAAAGACAGGAAAGAACAGAGTTAGTGAAATAGGTGGAGAAAAGGACTGTCAGAGATTTACAGAAGACTAAATTCTTGTTCTTTCTTTCCTAACAGTAGAACTGACAAATTGAGTTAGCACAAAATGCAGATGTGGCAAAGTATCATCCTGAAAACAATTCAGTGCTGGTAGGAATTAGTCCATTGTTAAGAGTACTGAGAAGCTGGTTGGAAGCAGAGCATGACCTAATGGGTTTAGCATTACTTTTGCAGCTGTGTGAAACCATTCCAATAAATAAACAGCTCAGTGAAGAAAGTGTGTTAGATTTTTAAGATTCTCCCAGTTAAGAGGATATGCCAAGTCATTGTTTCAACTGTGGAACAGATCCTTAAATACTGTAAGGCAACCAGATCCGTTGGAAGCACCAAGATGATGCTGATTTTCACAATTTGATAATGTGACCCCCAAATTCAACCCTTCTCATGACTTCTGTGGTGATGGCATTGCAAAAGGTAGAGAATGGCAAAGACCTGTCCACTCTGCAGTGATGTCAGAGGGAGTATGGATGCATAACTGAAAGCAGGATTTCCTTAATTTTTACCTGAAAAATCCCTCTGGGACTGGTGAAGATTTTTAGTTTGACTATAAGAGTGATGCTGGGAAACAGAATTACTGATGGGAGAGACCTGACTGGAGCTGTCCCTGATACTTTGGTTTCTCAGAGATCATTATGTTTGCAATAATTCAGTGGGAATAATTTCACTATTGTAGGAGACATTTCTACTGCTTTTGCTTAAGGTAAAAGCCCTGTGCAACAGACTGTGCATGCTGTGTACTGACAATATTTGGATCTAGGGATTTATGTAGCACACTATAAAGCCCTGTTTTTAAGATTCAAAATAAATACATTTTCACTGGTCAGTAGCCAGGCTCCCTGACCTATTTCTGCCTGAAGATTTCTTCTTTATCTGAGCAGACCCAGGCACAGAGTAACTTGTGACAGGAGTGCTGTGTGCCTGTGCTAATGAAGAGTTTGGGTTGAAGATTTGGTGCATTACTGGCAGGCATGACCTTCCAGAGGTCTCTGGTTCTCACTGTTCCACCTTAAGTCAGCAGGGGCTGCCTGTGCCTCTTCTCTTTGAAAGTCAACCCCTAGATGTTTCCTTCAGGCTTGTAGCTGTTCAGTTCAAGTCACAAGATTACACCTGTGCTAGCCTGTCTGGAGCTTTGTGATGCAGATGCAAAAACGTCAGAGAAAGATTAATAGAACCAGCCATTGATTTATTATGCTCTGGAAAGGAAGGGATAAAGCAGGCTGGCATGATGCCCCAAGCCCAGCCTCCACCACGATTTCTCTTGTGCTGACATATATTCACTAGTATTTATCTTGTCTGTCCACCTTCCTTTTGCTTTAGTTTCTTGAACTTCAGGAGTTTATTTTGGCAGGCACGCTCCTCACTGCTGCTGCTGCTGCTGCTGCTGGAGCTTTCCTCTGAGTTTTTGGAGAGGAGATACTTGATTGCAATCGAGTCCTTCTTGTTCATTTGCAAGCAGAGGCAGGAGGATTCGCTCACCTTAAATGACTTCCCCCACATACTCTGGCACATGTCAGTTCCATTTGCATACATCTGTGTGTCAAATAAGAAATGCCTCAATTACATTTAAATAGAATTGAATTAACATCAGTTTGTATCATATTGATAAACATTTGTCACTTTTTAAAAATTGGTACCAGGATATAAAAACATTGTCTGGAGTAATTTACTGTCTTGCTGTGTGCTATGCTTCATCTCTTCTGAGATGTCTGAAAATGTTACCCAGTCCCACAACTGGCAAAAGCAATTTGCCTGTTTTGAGAGCAAGTGGTTACACAAAATGCAGGGATCAACAGCTGCCCTTTGTTTCCACCCTGGGGCTGACAGCCCAGCAGCTCTCTGGGGCTGACAGTTAAAGCTGTGTGTGAGAGCCTTTACAACTTGTAGCATGTCAGGACACTCTGACATGCCTTGAAATCTGAGTAGTGCTGAAAGTGCCAGATAGTGCTTTGAATACAGGAATCTTTTTATTTACAGGCCAGAGACAGCCCAGTGGAGTCACAGCTCCGAGGGATCTCATTGTGCCTGCTGCAATGTTCTTCATGGCCGGGCAGGACCTCACAGGCAAAGAGAAGAGACATAATTTAGCAACTGCTTGAAGAAAGTAAGTTTTTGTCAAGCTTCCAAGGTGCTTTTTCCAGTGGGGCAATGGCCTTTCTGGCTCAAGAAACTGCAAATTGCAGCTTCATGTACCCTTATCAAGTGAAGCTGTTCTATTCTTGCTGCTATTGCATTTTGTAAGTCCTGTGTCATAGGACCTGTCAACCTCACAACAAAGATACTGTTTGTTTGTTGAGCTCACATTGTGACAATGTTCCCAGCTTGAGTTTGTCTGAAGAATATTAGCAAGTTATTCCCTGTGTCCCCTGTGCAAAAAATTATGTTGTCTTTTGCCTTAAAAACCTATCCTTTATGAATAATACAAAATCCATTTCAAATAGCCCCAAAGACTGTGTAGTCTGTAAAACAGCTTTTCAGCCAGTACAATCTCTAGCCAGGGTTTGCACCATGGATGCTGCAGGTGCTGGAGGAGGAGTATGGAGATTGGATGGGAGCAGGGTCAGAAAAGGAAAGCTCCTATCTAATTCTTTCCTTGTGTTCTTGGGGCAGGCAGATCTTAGCTCTTTCTTTCCTACTATTCCTGTGATTTTAAGTAGCATTAGATATTTTCTTCCAGCTCCTGTGCAGTTCTGAATTTCTGCCTGCTTTTAGCTAATCATTCCAGAAAATATTAAAGCCTGTCACATGGGTTCGTTTAGGTCTTTATGCAAGAGACCTCTATACACCTATACTTGTGTCCTACAGGTTCTGTGAAGTGTTTGTACTTTTCTACTTGCTAAATTGATAATTTTATTTTTACCTTCCTCCTAATTCTGCTTAAAGATCACAGGATAATCAGAATGCTGCAGCAAACACAAGGAGCACATAGCCTGTTTCCCCAATATGTTCCTAAATTACTGCAAAGGATACTGACTCGATCTTCTAGGAAAATGTCCTAGCCTGTGCATTAACACTGCTTGGGGAGCACCCAGCTGGGAGAATAATGACAAGGCTAAAACTGGCCATGGTCAGTTGTGCCTCCTGAATATTCAGCATTTTTTCTTTATTCAGCAGCTGTCCCAAATGGGCCTTAGAACCACTTGCATACATCACATATAGGGCTGCTGATTGCTCCTCTGTGTGAAAAAAGGAACTGTCTACAGTGTTCTGACATGAGAGAACCCTTCCATGAGTTGAGTCCAAACCAAGGCAGTCTAGTGTTTGTATATCATGTAATCTTCATATGGGAAATGTCTGTTTGTTAAATTTCTCTGCTGAATTTTCATCTTTATGATTACTTACCATGCAAGCCTATTTGTGGTGAAAAACATAGGTAGTTGAGGGTGTGGCTCCATTTAGTTAAGGAATAGCTGTGCCTGGCTTCAAGTGATAAGACCTTGGAATTTGCTGCATGTTTTTCCCAGTAGATGGTATATTTTCTTTAAGAAATAAGTGCAAGGGAACTCAAGGTTAAAAACTCCTGTCTCTGAAACAGGGACAGCTTGAACAGAGACTTGAGATTATTTATGGAGATTATAATTTTGTTTTTCACTTCATCTGGAACTACTGATGATTTAGCACATCTGGGAAACTAAGCTGTAAGTTTCCACAGCCCATTTGTTTTTGGCCACCTTCCTGAGTTTGCTGATTAGTGTCACTTTTGCAAGGCAGACAGCAATCCAGCACGAACTGGACTGTGTTTTCCACTTATATCAGTTGTTGAACTGACTTCTGGAAGTACATGCACTTGAATTGAATTCAAAATAATGAATCTGCAAGCCTTACTACCAGTCCCTAAGCACTTCACCTAAATTTTGTTTACTTCTTCAATTTGGGCAATTTTTCATGGACTCGGTGAAGTTCAACTGTTAAAAACATTCCAATACACTTTTGAACTGCTAAACTTACTTGAGTCACTAGAAAAATCCTACCCGACTCTGGAAAAGTCTGTAGACCAGGTTCCAGGCAACCTTGCTCCTGTAAGTCTTGTCAGTTCTCATTTTATACACTTTTGCTCATAAAATTATTATCCCAACCATTAAACATTCTCAGAAAGATGGGATGGAGAAGGACAAGATGAAATAGAGAAAAGGGCAAAGATACCCAATAGGCAAGAAAACCTTAAAAATTCCTCAGTAGTTTGGGAATTCATATTCCAATTAAAAAAGACAGAGGTGTGTAGAGCCCCATATTGTGTGGGGAACCTTATGAAAAGCATCTTAGTGTCTCTGTGTGAACAAAGTTCATTTATCTCACTTTCTAAATCCCACTGGGTTAAAATATCTGTGTTTCTTGGACTTTTGTTTCACAAGTAGAATGAATAGTGATTAATTAAATTTATATCTGCCTACAGTGAGTGCTGTACATAAATGTAATAATAAATGCTTGAAAATGAACGCTTGAAAATTTGTGTACTTAAAAAGTCTGATGTAGGAATGGCTTGAAACTGCTTAAGTAAAAATAATTCACTGATGGCATTTTACTCCCGTATATTCAGGGAAAAAACCCCCAGAACTCCTAATGCCATAGTTTCTGCTTCAGCTGATCAGGTTTTCTTACCTCATGGTATGGAATGCATTTATCCTTACAGTGGTTTTCTCCACTTTCATCCCACTCCCAGTCTGTCAGCCAGTTACGAACACATATGGAATCATCTTTGCAGGCTTCATACCTTCATGGAGATTAGTGTGGAAGATAAAGTTACTTCTCTCACATTTTTCATTGGACTCTGATTCAACTCAAAGAGATGTCCAGGGGCTCTGTTAGTAATGTGGTGTGATTACAGTGCAGCTTAGCAACAGATCTTCAAGCAATGTGCACATTATCTTAGCTTGACATGTGCATAAACTCTGAGCTGCCCAGGAAAACCTAAATTCCCATGAAAACTAAACAGTTCACTTGCTACCTTTTATACTGACAGACTTAACAAAGGGTTCATGTTGTGGGTGTTTTCTGCTTGGTTATCTGATGTTTCTGAGTGGAGGTAATGCTGGGAGGGATAGAGTGAGTTTCATGAATGCTGCTGTTCAGTATCATAACAGAGCAAAGGTGTGCTAAGGGTGAACTGTCACTTGAAGGAGATGTGGGGAAAGTTTGTATTTATGAATCAACATGGGACAAGAAGAATGATGTTTGCCAGGCAGGGGAGTTGTTATGAGGAATGTGCACTAAAATAAGGAAATTCCACAAAACCCAAAATAGTGTAAAATAATAGGATGTTAGCCTCAAAATTACATTTTCAAAGAAGTTAAAAAGAGAAGAAAAGATAAGAATTCTCTAGAGTATAGGTCTAAAATCTTAAATTTCAAATTATTTTTAATTTGTAAGTGGTAATGTAGAAAAAAACCTATAAATGACCTGGAATGAATAGAGTTCTGGCTGGTTGATGTGATGAGAGGTCTCATGACTTACCATTATCCTCCCTTTCCCTTATTCTACATAATTTCCTCCCTTCCACTTCTCTTTTATGCTGTACTTTTTGGCTCTTCCCTTTCTTAAGGACTACTTTCTGCAAATCAGTTAACATCTACTTAAATTTAATCTCATTGGCTTGTAGGACTATCCATACCAGTAACTGAGAGTGCCAAAACAATGAGGCACAGCTTTCAGAAAGTTAATGTTTAGCATGGTATTCGTAATTAGTGCCTTTGGATAGATTTTCTGTTTGTCACTTTTAGTCTTCAGGGTCATGTTTCAAAAACTGTTTTGATATCACGAGGGCTGCAACCTTACATTTTTAAATGAAATATGTGGGTTGTCATGTGGTCGTGAGAACTGGACATTGCAGTAGATTTGCAGATGCAGAAAGGTCAGAAGATGCATATCTGCAGTATCTTCACTCTGGTTTTCTGGGCTATTTGGTGGGAGAAAGAGCAATAACAGATGAAAGGTAACCAGGGCCTGAAGTAAACAGCTCAGGGTCAGGAGACATGCACTCTCAACGGGTTCATCCCTGAATCTGCTGTCAGAGGTAGGGGCTCTGCTGGAAAGAGGCTAAAATTTGAGAAATTAATATTCATGGTATCCATCTGGTTTCCTCAGGAATATGAATAACATATATTAATTAAAGTGTTCCTATTTTATTCACCATTATTTATTGACTTGTCAAGAGGACATGTTTCCTAATCACGATTATTACCTGACTGTGGTTTATTCTATAAGCAGGTGACAGGGCATAATTCCATTGGTAGGAGTTTTTCTTTATCCCAATGGAAGTAATTATGAAGTCAAGTTTATGAAAAGTCATGATTTGTGAAAATTCTAATTTCTGCAGTCCAGAAACCCATAAGTTGTTTATTCGAACATTAACTAAATATGGGAAACATAAATACTTAAAAGATCCTCCCTGAACATATTAGTTCCCTATGTATAATAAGCAGGATATTTTTATTTTAAAGCCTTTTCCACTGTATTTTTTCTAATTAGCTCTTTCTCTTTTATAGGGCACAGGGTTCTTTCACAGGTGAATGAGAAAATTACTTGTACATTGAGCTCTTTCAAAAGCAATAGTTTAAGGACTAGTGAGAGCAAGGAATCCTAAAACAATAGGAAGAAAAGGAAGGTCCCAAGCTACTCAGATGGATTTCTTTTAAATTAAGTCACTGCTCATTGAGAATACTCTGCACATTTCTGGCCACAAAGACATACAGTATGCAGCAGGCACACTCACAGTATGTAGAGAAAGTAGGTCACATCACCAGCAGTGCTACGGCATGCTAAAGGGCCTCCACTGAATAGAACATGAAAAAATGTTACTTTAAATCACCAGAAAGAGTGGGAATTCTGTCCAGGCTCTTTTCTAGCCTGAGGCCTTAAGCAGGGTGAGGGAATGGGTTTGACACTGGCATTAGGCAGGCACACAGACCAGCATGCAGGGTAATGGGCCATCAGTACATTTTTGATTCAGGCCAGGCGTCTGTGACGCCAACAGGAGCAATAGATCATTGCTCAGGACTTGTTTAGAGCAGATCCTCTCTCTGCCACGAGACTCTATACTGGAATAGGGTCAGTTTTCCTGGGCAGCAGCTCTCAATCACCCACTGTACTTTCCAGCAACAAAAGTTA